TACACAAAGGTACACCCACGATTCTAACAGACTGGACTCAACATCAACTTCAGTAAAGGGTACGGTCACCCCAATGAACGTGCCTCTGGAAGAGTTCCAAGAAATGCTAGAGATTCTGCGCTGCCAGATGGGATCGTTCCCGCAAACATACCTTGGACTCCCGCTATCTAATGTTAAGTTGTAGCTCTCGGCGTCCACGCCTCTGATAGCCAAGGTGGACCGTTACCTGGCGGGTTGGAAAGCAACATTGCTCAGCTCGGCTGGCCGCGATGTCCTCGTCAACTCGGTGCTCGATGGCGTCACTATATATGCCATGGGCGCCATGATGCTCTTGCTCGGAGTGCGTGATGCCATTAACGCCCGTCGAAGAGCTTTCCTATGGACGGGCAGAAGCAGCTTCGGGCACCAGGTGCTTGGTAGCGTGGGAGAGCGTATGCAAACCGAAGGAAGACAGCGGCCTTGTCATGGAGCATGGAGGTTAGGGTCTCAAGGATGACAATCATCGCTTGATGGCCGGACTAATTTACCGAGCCTTAATGTGGGGTGAGCACAATTGTCCCTCCTTCCAGTTCACATGGTGCAACTTCGCTCCGCCCCGTGTCAAAGTATTGGGATGGCTGCTCACCAAGGAAAGGATCCAATGCAAATCCTAGCCAGTGCGCTGGAATGTGCTTCGGGACGCCTGCTCCGATCTGTGCCGCGATGGTGAAGAGACTACAAACCACATCATGTCAGAGTGTGCGTTCGCACGAGGATTCTGGTGCAAAGATCGTCTCGAACGCATCAAGCATCGCCAAGGAGCGTGTGCTCTAGGAGTCATCGACACCGCCAAGGGGCCAACGATGCCAACTGCAGCCACCTCACCCTTACTCCTGCTCTATTGCTGGGAAGTCTGGAAGCACCATCAAATAAATGGATAATCTAGCGTCTGGACGTCCGGCGCACCACGTGCGTCCGGACGCCCGCTCCAGTGCTCAACCCTTTAGCGTCCGCTTTCGCCTTCGCCCCACGTGCATGCCCGCAGCACGCCCCCAGCCCAAACCGCTAGCCCTTCGGTGAGCCGTGCGCCCCCTAGCTCGCCCCGCACCGCCCAGTGCCCATCCTGTTCCAGAGGCAGCATCCGTTCGTACGGAGCTCCCTCGCTTGCGCCCAACGCATGCGGCTCCCTCGTCCCACGCCATCACCCATCCCTCGTTCGTATGGATGCCCTGTCGGCTCTGAAGAGACAATACAGCAGAAGGTGGAAGGAGGAGAGATGCAACACCCGATCTACTTTTGAAACATCCAAATAGAACGATTGCAACATACGTTTGAAGGCAGTTGAAATACTTGAAACATGCTTATAAAACACTTGAAAAACACACCTGAAACACGCTTGAAAACCATTGCAACCATACGCAACATCCGAATAAAACACATGCAACATATGTGGGGAACATATGCAATATCCAGATAAACACAACTGCAACATGCGTCCGGAAAACACAGATGAAACATACCGTTGAAACATCTGAAACACTCGAAACATACTCTTGCAACATGCCTCTAAAACAGTTGCAACATATGCAACATCCTCCGATCTACTTTTGCAACATCCATATGAAACAAATACAACATACTTTTACAATTGCAACATAGGGGGAGAGAGAGCCTGGCGCGGGGAGTGCCATGGCCGCCGGATATGCGGGCATTGGGGGCTCCCGGTGGAGGAGGACGCTGGTGTGGGGGGAGGGGCGCCGCCGGGGTGGGGGAGGAGGACGCCGAGGTGGGGCAAGGAGCCGCCAGGGGTCGAGGAACATAGGGGAGGGGGAGGCTGCGCCAGTCGCCCATGCCGGAGCTGTGCGTCCCGTGCCAGGGCCGTGCGCCCCACACCGGATCTGCTCCCGAGTCGGGGCCGCCGCCGGGGTTGCGCCCATCCCCGCACCGGAGTTGAGGCCGGGGGTGGCCGGCCGGAGAAGAGGAAGGAGGTCACCGGGGTGGCCGCGCGGATTATAACTCGTGCTCGCGCTGGGGACGCTGCCGCGCCAGAGCAGGAGGAGGGAGAGGGAGGCAGCGGGGCGCGTGGCTTCGTGCGAGGCGTGTGGGGGCGGGCGCGCGGCTTGGCAGAGGAGCGTTGCGGCGTGGGTGTGGCGGGTGCGGAGATGCCACGGTGGTGGAAGGGGCGCTTGAGGAACGAGCGGGTGTGGAAAATGAGCGGACGGAGGCGTCCCTCAAATAAAGCACCATTACGATGTTGTCTTCAGGGCTATGGATTCGGATCACAGTCGCTTGATTGCTGCTTGCCGCGAAACCGCGCAATTATCGAGCTGCCGCATGCCTCGCCGCCACAATGCTCATTCTGAATTCTGAATTCTGAATTCTGAATTCTGGTGTAATGTCTTTGGTATGTAGCCTCCCCCTCCCCCCCTTTCCATGCCACATGCCTGCTTCACCTCCCGGCTCTGCCGTCCCTGTCGTCGACCTCTAAACAAAGACAAAGGAAAACTGCATGCTCTGCTTGGACGTCAATCCGTTTGCATGCACGGCCGTGCGTCACGCCGGCATGCAACCCAGCAGAGCTGCATAGGCGTATACGATTCATTCGCGTTATGTGCCCGTCAGTAGTGGCTCCCTGGCTCGCCTTGCATCTTCTTCCTGGTACAGCTGAGAAGATGAGCGAGCACGGCAGGTTCGCACTTTACAGCTACGGCGGACAGAGGGATGGCAATTCACGCCACGTATTCACGGAAAACTTAATGTATGGCGGACGCCATACCATGCCCTATCGAGTCCTCCGGCCGGCGTCTGTTCTTGGCCACAGCCGCAAAGGCAGGCAAATCGGTGCAGTGTTGGCCTCTCTTTTTGTCAGTGATCAGTAACAAAAGAAACGGGATGAGGGCCTCTCTTCTTATCAGTGATCAGTGATCAGTAACAAAAGAAACGGGATGATCCTTTCAAGCTCGTCTTTGCGGGAATTGATTAGTGGCCAGGACCACGGAATCGGGCGGGTTGACAGGTGTGATGGGTGCCGCCGTGCCGCGCTGGTCCGCGAACGAAAGCGATTTTTAATAAAGCTCATCAGTCATCACCAATGGACTTGGTTGAGACGGGGAAGCAAAATGTTAGCGACCAGAGTCTTGTCTTAGCTAACATAATAGATGGACGGGCGTATCACCTGCATGCACCTATACTAACTGACCATCACTGCATCAGATGGAGTACTGGAGAGAGAGCTGACATGAGTAGATCGAGGAACGAGCTTTCAGACTGTTTGTGTTTGATGGATTTCTCCGCGGCGGCGGAGACAGAGAAGACAATAAAATTAAGAAACTTCGTACATATGAACCTAGGTTAGTTATCGATGCAGTTACTCCTATTTTTCTGAATTTATTCCGGTACTTGACAATCTAACAATGTTATTCATCTCGTGGTAGGTCACCGTATCTATCTACAACGAGGCGCGTGTGGTGACTCATGAATCTCGAAACCTAACAGTTTAGTATTTCCGAGGTGCTCATAGTAAAATAGCATGTGTGTATGTTAATAGGGTGAGCGTATGTGCATATATGTAATCCTCTGTACCGTGTAATTTAGAGTAAAAAATTACTAGTTAAATATGTGCTCAATAAAACGTAAAATATAATGAAATGTAAGTACACATGCTGTAAAACCTAAAATTTCATTAAATGTATTCTCTAATATGGTAGGGGAAACAAGTTTAGATGGATCAAAAATTCTATTCTAATTGTGTCTTGTGTGATTTAATTTGTTGTCCAGAAGACACTAAAAATATATATGACAAGGACTTTTTATCATATCATTTCTAATATAAATATATATTAATTATACATTAAGTAAAAAAACTTTGTTGTTGATGTTAGGAGGGGGCATGGCTCTTGATGCCCCCTGGCTCCACCCTTGTTTCAAATTATCCATCCCCTTTTTTATATGCTGACAAAATAGTTCATTCTCTTTTCGATCATGCTAGTCTCAACATTGCATATTTCCTTCCTAACCAGAAAAACCACAATGAAAAGTTTGGTCACTAGGTTGTCTTTTTCTCTATCCACCTAAAATGCCGAGTCCTCACAAACTTGTTTCATAACTTTCCACATAGAACGTGTTTGGCTAAGGTGCAGCTAAGGTTCCACGAGCCACACGCTACCACGTGCAACTGCTGTGGCGCCTAAGGTGCGGTGTTTAAAATTGGCGCCACAAATGTGACGTGGTTTTGAATGGGAAAAAGTAGTGGCTGCCACACATGAAGGCCGGACAAAACAACAGCTTTTCCATTTCATGGCGCGTTGTAAGTTAGACATGGCAAAGCGTGGTGGGAAACCAAACTCCTTAATATGAGTAAGGTTGAGATGGAATGGACTCTTATGTCAAAGGTCCAATCAAACGATAACACGGGTGTGAGGGTGACAATTGACATCGGCATGTGTTTTCTATACTACTATACAGAAGTTGAAAGTTAATTAATTACTCTTTTTATTTCAAATTATAAGACGTTTTGATACGTATCTTTTGCTATACACTTAAGTCTAGATACGCAATAAAAGCAAATATATCTAGAAAAAATAAAATATCTTGTAATTTAGAATGGATCGAGTAGATTAATAACGCTGTAGTGCAGCCGACTAACCCACAGCACGATGTGTACTAAACCGGTCACCAGGTTCAGCAAACTATCATCCCGTCGGCTAAAACGGGGGGAAGCAGAAAGCACGGCGTCAATACCCAAGGTCAGGGTGGTCGGTGGGCAGCAGCCAACCAGCACGCCAGCCCGCAGACCGCAGCGCCTCCACTCCCCAACGTGGTGTGCCGCACACGCGGAAAACTAGAACGCGCAGCGCCCCGAGCCGAGAGCCCCCTTGCGTCCCTTTTTATACCCCTCGCCACCATTCCCTTCTCCACACTACTGCCAGGCGCCAGCTCCGACGAGGGAGGAGGAGGACGCCAGTTGCCACTGCCGCGCCGCTCCCGCCTCCCTCTCTCCATCCGCCGAACTGGACGCCACCATGATCTCCGCTCGCGCCGCCACCGTCGCCGCCGCGTCCCCCGCCTCCCCGGTACGTTCCACGAGCGGCCTAACCACGCACCCTTCTACACCGCCTTCCCTCCGCTAGTGATTCCCCGCGCGGTTTGGGCATCGCAAGTTGCCTGCCACCAGCTGACCATTTGAGCTTGCGTGTTGTGTCTGTTTATTCTCCGCACCCGCAGTGGAAGCGGGGAGGACGGAGCGAGGGCGGCGGCAGCTGCGACGGATGCAGCACCTACAGGAAGACCGTGCGGAGGAGGGCCGCGGCCGCGAAGGTGCGCGCCTTGCCGCCGAAGCGGGTGGAGGCGGTTGCGATAGGCTCCGCCGCGGAGACGGAGACGGAGGAGGTGGTGGTGGAGGTGGCGGCGGCCACCGAGGAGCTGCCCGTCATGCCCTGGGCCACCTCCGTCGCAAGGTGAGCCGTCGAATCGCGTGGGGGCTCTGGCTGTCTCTACCTCTACCATATCCAAACTAGTTCTAATTCTACCATTGCTTGCTCGCGTCTAGTCAAATCTCTAATTGCTTGTTCTATTATTAGTGTGCTCACGTGCTTGACTAGCAGCATTCTTCTGTCGTGGTGCCTTCATTCACCGAAGACAACATTACCATTTAGTTTGCCTTTTATTTAAGTTTCAATACTAATTTATCGAAACGTGCTTCAGCTTAACTAAGAAGCTCCAGCCTGATATATAGTCTAGATTTGTTAAATCACCATATGTCACATGGGAGTTTCTAGCAAGTTTCAGTTTGGGAATGTTTTTTTGGCAGTGTTGTAGGATTCTGAATTCGGAATGTTTTGGCGTTGTTGTAGAATTCTAATGAGCTAGGTCCAGAGTTTCAAATGAACTCATACTGCTGAGCTAGGTCCACCAGAGTTGTTGAACAAAAAGCGGGGAATTGTCTGCTTTGCTTTAGGTTTGTCCTGTTTCGTGCAAGTATATTCTAAGCTGGCCCACAGCGATACCAATTTGTCTGGTTTCTTCCACTACCTCTTGGGCAGTGAAATATGATGGAAATTGATACTAAATTGCAACCGTATTGTGGACTTGTGGTAATATACTACCAAATCGAATTTGTCACGTAATCTACTGTGAATGATAACCTTCGCCGTGCACAATGATAGCTTGTCAAGCATCAATATGGCCATGTCACCCAAAGAAAAGAAAAATCTGGGCTCTAGGATGTTCATGGCTGGATGCAAAGCTTTTCTTTGAATCTACGACCATAATTCTTTCCACTAAATAAGTTTCCTTCACTTGGTTGAAAAATATGCTGACATGTCTTATTTCTACATCAGCGGTTACACCCTTTTGAGGGATCCACATCACAACAAGGGTCTTGCTTTCACGGAGAAGGAGAGGGATGCACTCTACTTGCGTGGACTGCTTCCTCCGGCAGTTGTATCTCAGGAACTCCAAGTATGGGGCACAATAAACAGTACCTGTTCTTGTGCTGACCTTTCTTTCTTTCTTTTTTATTTACTGAAGATCACTTTAATCTATATGTAGATTAAGAAGTTCATGAACAACCTGCGGCAGTACCAGCTCCCTATTCAGTGCTATATGGCCATGATGAACCTTCAGGCAATCCCAGTTTATCCTTTCTACTCTTATATGAAAGCTTGCGACGGCCAGCATAATTGATATGAGATGTTCAGTTAGAACGAATGGGTAGTTGCATCATTGTGCTTAACACCTCCTGTTTTCAGGAGACGGACGAGAGGCTTTTCTACAAGCTTTTGATTGAAAATGTGGTGGAGCTGCTTCCTTATGTTTACACACCAACTGTAGGTGAGGCCTGCCAGAAGTATGGGTCCATCTTTGGACGACCACAGGGTCTGTATGTCAGCCTGAAGGACAAGTATGTGCGCCTATATTTGCTTGAACTTCACAATAATATATAGCTGTCTACCATCTACCTATTTTACCAGGACTGACGTCGAGGTGCTTTTCAGGGGTAGGGTCCTAGAAGTTCTAAGGAACTGGCCACATAGGAACGTTCAAGTTATCTGTGTTACTGATGGTGAACGAATCTTGGGACTTGGAGATTTGGGTTGTCAGGTATGATTGTCTCATTAGTTGCTTATTATGTGAGAACCTTTGCTTATATTATACTGAATCCTTCTATAGGGAATGGGAATTCCTGTAGGCAAACTTGCTCTATACACTGCTCTTGGAGGAGTCGATCCAACAGCTGTAAGCGTTCATATCTTTTCTGTCCCCTTTTTGGTTGCATTTCTTGTAATGGTCATGTATGTTTGGTATCAACAAACAACTAAGTTATCACAATTGGCGAATTCTAAATTACGTTGCAGTGTTTACCTATCACAATTGATGTTGGCACAAACAATGAGAAATTGCTTAATGATGAGTTCTACATTGGACTCCGGCAAAAACGTGCAAGGGGCGAGGTATGTAGTTGTGTCGAGATTGCTAGGTGTTAGGAATTGGCAAAATATGTGACACTTGGGATCTTATCTGTGCATTTTCCTTAATGGCAGGAGTATGATGAGCTTATTGAAGAGTTCATGGCTGCTGTTAAGACATTCTACGGTGAGAAAGTCCTCATTCAGGTGAGTTAGTCTCAACATTGTACTTTTGCTATGCCGGCTCAATTTACTCTTTATCCCAAATTGTAACACTGTAAATTTTGGACAGTTTGAGGACTTTGCCAATCATAATGCCTTTGATTTGCTTGAAAAATATAGCAAGAGCCATCTTGTTTTCAATGATGATATCCAGGTAAATGGAACCACCATGGTATTTTTATTTTTACTGATACCAGGGGGCAACCTTAATTAATTGAGATCATCATCCTTCAGTTTATTGCCTTTTGTGATTGGTACCAATTTGGAAATATGAATGTTTGCAGGGCACAGCATCAGTGGTCCTTGCAGGTTTGTTAGCAGCACTCAAGATGGTTGGTGGGACCCTGGCAGAGCAGACTTATTTGTTCCTTGGTGCTGGGGAGGTTAGTTAAAACATCTCCTGGTGAACTGTTATTTCCTTTGTCACCCAACTGTCGGATCATACTGTACTAGTATCTTTTGAATTGAGATTGTGACCATTAGTAAGATTCTATTTTATCAAGGAAAGTAGACCCATCTGTAAGATTCTGATAATGTATTTGATTTCAGGCTGGAACTGGTATTGCAGAACTCATCGCTCTTGAGATGTCGAAACAGGTAACTAGCTTCATTGTTCTAGTATCCGAATGTGTGGTAGGTTTCCTTTGTCCTAGTTCTTACTCTAATATGTACTGGTCGGGTCTATTTATAGACAAAGGCCCCAATTGAAGAGTGCCGCAAGAAGGTTTGGCTGGTGGACTCAAAGGTGTGTAACCAAAGGAAAATGCGCTGTTGCTAGTGCAATGTTTGCTCACCTGTTTATCTGACGTCCTAACACGATATTTTGTGTACAGGGTTTGATTGTTGACTCTCGTAAAAACTCCCTTGCGCCATTCAAAAAACCTTGGGCACATGAGCATGAGCCCTTGACAACCTTGTATGACGCTGTTCAGGTAGTCACACTCATGTGCATTTAAGATTGTACTTCAGTTCATTTAGCAGTTGCTGCCTTCACTTAAAGCTGTCCTGTTTGTGCTGTTTTCATAAAAAAGAATTTACTAACCTTTCGTCATATCGTCCAGTCCATCAAACCTACAGTTCTGATTGGGACATCTGGAGTTGGAAGAACATTCACAAAAGAAATTGTTGAGGCCATGGCTTCCATCAATGAGGTAATTTTTTTCTGTTTTCTGACATCGCTGGTGGTATATTGTTTGGATGGAAAGCTGACCATATTGCTAATTATAAATGCAGAGGCCTATCATCTTTTCACTGTCAAATCCAACCTCACATTCTGAATGTACTGCTGAACAAGCATATACCTGGACTCAGGTGAGCTGTCTAATCACCTTGTGCAGAGTTTGATCAGCAAATTGGTCCACTCCAGTCAAAACATTTGGCATTTTTTTCACTGTCTGACTACCATTTTGAATGTAGCCATCACTAGAAGATTATTCGTGCTCAGTTTCCTGTTTATTAAACTGTGATCTAATTGGACAAAAAAAAAGTGGCTGATTTTTGGAAACTGGAAAGAAACCTGTGGGGTCTGTACTCTGTAGTTTGCAACTCATATCTCTTTATTTGCACTCTATGCTCAGGGTCGTGCAGTTTTTGCCAGTGGCAGTCCATTTGCCCCTGTGGAGTATGATGGGAAGACTTTTGTACCTGGGCAGGTAGAACTTGTTTCTAATATTAAACCCTACTAGGCAATGCAATCTTGCTGGTGTAAACACCCGCAAAACATAAGTAGTTTATTGCTAACTCGACTGTGCTATTTACAACAGTCGAACAATGCCTACATTTTCCCTGGACTCGGCCTCGGTCTTGTTATTTCTGGAGCCGTCCGTGTCCACGAGGACATGCTTCTTGCCGCCTGTAAGTAGCTCCGAACGGAAACCGTTGGGCATAAAAATCGTTTATAATACCTTGGTGAAACTAGGGACCAATCTCATGTTTCATTCATTCAAACAGCGGCTGCACTAGCTGATCAGGCCACAGAGGAGAACTTTGTCACGGGATCGATCTTCCCACCCTTCACCAACATTAGAAAGATCTCTGCGTACATTGCTGCAGCCGTGGCTGCAAAAGCTTACGAACTCGGTACGCACGTCCTCTGTTTTGCTTTTGCAGACACCATTCCACATCTTGGCATTCACCACCAAGTCTCATACCTGTCTGATCTGACATCATCAACTTCCCTCTGCAGGTTTGGCGACCCGTGTGCCTCCCCCCAAAGACCTGGTGGCATATGCAGAGAGCTGCATGTACTCTCCTGTCTACCGTAACTACCAGTAGTGCTGCTGGGATCAATTTTGGAGTAATAAAATCTATCAACGCAGATGATACTGCAATGTTGTAGTTATTGTTGTTTATAGTCCCTGCTGCTAACCACCATTGTTGCTGCTGCTGCTGGTCGACACTGTACCTGTCTATGCATATATATGATATATGTTGTAACGTTATGAAAGCAAACAATCTTGTGTCCCAATGTTTGTTATTCTTTCGCTCGCTTATGATGGTCTGTTGAAGTGGCTGAAAGAGTCAGATAGCCGTGAAAACAAATCAAGATGGCCAAATTTAAGCGAAACCAAAGAATTCTGCAAGTTAGCTCAAAGCCTCAAGCCCTCAGCACAAACGAATTGTTGCAAGTGATTTCTCTTTTTTTCTTAGAGTTCAAGGGCTTTAATCCCCAATCTTAGCAAAAGCAAGTTCTCAGCAACCACACAAGTACACAACACACTCACATCCAAAAAGAATGGAAAAGGCACTTCTACGTAGAGACTCAACTATAACACGAGCTAAAGATCAAAATGACTGCTACCCTCATCTACTTCACACCAGAGGCTTCCTTCAACGTAGAAGATTGATCCAGTTGTTTGCTCTTTCTAGCTTCTCCACCCAAGTTCCATCCTTCACCGTCATCTAGGAGTCCAGCTGGTGCAGCAAGGTCCAAGAACCACCATCATCTTATCAGCATCTCGGTCTCTCCTTATCCATCGGGCAGCATAGCCGGGGCTCTTGCCACTTGCCAGCAATTTCAAAGTTCGAATAACCTCCTCTAGCCTCGGTTGCTCGGTCACACTATGTGGACGTCCACGTGGTCGTGGTCGTGAGTCAACAAATAATAGTCAAAATGTCTACATGATCTCTGGCTCTAACATATCGATGCTTGACTACGTGACTCATTCAACTATAAAATTTAGTACGGTAGCCCTCAAAATATCTAATACATTTTAAATGACCCGAAAATGTTTGTGTGGAGCTGTTTTGACACCGTACTTCGCTACGCGGGTTGGCCTAGTTAGTAAACACATTTGTAAGTGGGCATCTTCTCTTTTTTCCTTCTTACTCTTCGTGTTCACCTCTCCCTCTGTTCCCTCCACTCCACTCTTTTTAGACTACCCCACCTAGGAGCAGCCCATGGTTGCAATCTCTTGTCACTTGCTCCACCTCCCGGTCCTCCTCAACGTCATTATCCTTTTCCTCTTGCTTTTTTCTCCCATGACTACCTCATCAACAAGTTCCCTTCACTCTTTGCCCACACCCACCTTAGCAAGCGACCAGGGCCGCCCATCTTATTATAGATAGGTTCGCGTGCCAACATGGGTAGGTCACTGATGGAATTATTTGAATATTATTAGAAGTTTTAAGGGCTATAACATGGTTTTCTATACCGTGTATTTGATTTAGGGACGTCCTAGTGTTAGGTTGATCTCCACCAACAGCCAATTGGGCCATTGATCCGCACCCTGATCGGGGACGCTTAGCCTTTCTACTGGCTGATGGACCCCCATCGCGCAGTGCCATAAAAGGATGGTGGGGCTGGGACACATAACACGAGGTTTACCGTAGCCGTCAGTGTTCCACCGCGTCCTAACCCCAATCCGATCTAAAGGGGCGCTGTAAGCGACGGGAAGCACCATCGCCTTCGACCGCCGTCACTGCATCGCGCCTGCACTACTACGACACCGGTGGCCACGTTACTGCGGCGCAATGGCCGCAACTGCCTTAGGGCAAGGTACATCACCAAGCTTCTCCATCTAAGTCAAGTTTTATCCCCTGATCTACGATTCTAGGGGCTGTTCGCTGGTCTGAAAATTTCAGCCAGCTGGCTGATCCCCCCTCTCAAGTTACTGTTCACCAAACCAGCCAAACAGTGTTTTTCTCTCACAACAAACCAGCCGGAACAGTGTTTTTCAGCCAAGTTTCAGACCAACGAACAGGGCCTAGAGGTACTACAATCTATCACCTAGGTCCTACGATTAAATGGTCCCATTCTCTATTTGATTGAGGGATGGATTCATCTATGTTCTCTATTCGGTTAACGTGATAGACAAATGGGATGGATAGAGTTTTCACACCATTAGTCAAAGTCAAATTACAGGTCCACTTGCCAACAGTGGGCCCACTCGTCAGCCTATAGTTCCCAATCCCACATGCATCGCCCACCATGCCTGCCCACCGATGCTGCCCCCACAACACCTCTCACATCGTGCCCGCACGACGCCAACCCTAATTCCAAGGTACGGGTGTGTTGCGTATCTGAGCGCCGACCCTAATTCCAAGGTACGAGTGTGTCACGCATCTGAGTAATATATTCCATATCACTCGTCCTCCGTCCAAACACTAGTGAAAATAGGATGGCTCTGTGTCCCGTCCTCCTTCATTATCCCAAGAACCAAACAAATGGTATGTGAGAAGGTGAAATGAACGAACACCAATAGATTGGGGTTATTGCTGCCAGTGAAGCCTGAGATAAAAGGAGATCCACTTATACATGAAAACAACGTTGCTGAGCAGTGAGCACAGCCATCTCTGTTAGATTGATCTCTAATCCCAAACTGGGCCCAACGGCCCAGTTGGGCCTTTGATCCGCGCCCTGATCGGGGGCGCCCAGCCCACTATGGCTGGAGGGCCCCTGTCACACTGCGCAATAAATAGAAGTGGGTGCCGGCTATATGGTCGAGATGGCGACTAGAGGGCGGGTGAATAGTCTTTTCTAAAACTTAATCGCGTCGGCTAACCGATACAAATGCGGAATTAAAACTATCGGTCTAGCCAAGACTATACCCCACTATATATGTTCACTAGCACCTTGCAAAGATAACAATTATGAAACAAAGGTACCGGGCTAGCTAGAGCTCTCTTAATCAATTCTAGGAGCAAGGTCACACAAACCTATGCCACTAGTACTTTAAGCAATGAGGGAGCTTCTACACATGCTAGTAAGCAAAAGCACAAAACTAACTAAGCTCACTAGCAATGCTTAATAACAAGGCAACCAATGCCTAATTAGAGAGCGCAAATACTTAGCAACACAAACTAAGCAATGTGACTAACAAGGTTACTAAAACCAAATTAGCCACGCACGGGAGCTACTTCTATGCTACACAAACAAGAAGGTAATTAGCAAGCTACACAAGCTATCTAATCATAAGAGCAACTACACAAGCTTAATATATATAAAGGTAATTGCAAGCTTGTGTAATGGGGATGCAAACCAACGGGAAGAACAAGGTTGACACGATGATTTTTTTCCCGAGGTTCACGTGTTTGCCAACACGCTAGTCCCCGTTGTGTCGACCGCTCACTTGGTGGTTCGGCGGCTAATTAGCATCACCTGCTAAGCCCGCACGTCGGGCGCCGCAAGAACCCACCCCGATAGTGAGGGTAGCTCAATGACACGCTTTACTAAAGTTGCTCTTCGCGACTCCCGTGGGGCGAGCACAAGTACCCCTCACAAGCACTTCTCCGGAGCACCGCACAAGCTTCTTGCGCGCTTCGACGGAGACCACCACCAAGCCATCTAGGAGGTGGCAACCTCCAAGAGTAACAAGCACCACCGGCTTGCAACTCGATCACCTAGTGCCACTCGATGCAACCTTACGATGCAATCGCACTAGAATCGCTCTCTCACACTATCGGATGATCACTATCATGTAAGTGTGAGATGGAGGGCTCCCAAGCACTACCACATAAGCCACCAAGGCTCTAGTGTGCTCAGCTACCGGCCCAAGGCCGATCATGGCTTCTATTTATAACCCCACGAACAAATAGAGCCGTTACCCCTTCACTGGGCAAAACTCAGGATGACCGAACGCTCCGGTCCGATCGACCGGACGCTGAACCCCAGCGTCCGGTCACGCGATACTCCGCCGGTGGAGTTCGAACCTTTCTCGCCTCCATTCCATCGCCGAGTTGATCCACATCAACTCCAACTTCATCTCCTTTGTAAATGTGCCAACACCACCAAGTGTACACCACCATGTGTATGTGTGTTAGCTTTTCAAAATCATTTTCCAAAGGGTTAGCCACTCAACTTGCCACGCCACTCAATCCTAGTGATGATGCAAAGTTAGATCACTCGAGTGGCACTAGATGACCGATATGCAAACAAATTTGCTCCTCTTGATAGTACGGCCATCTATCCTAAACCTGATCATAAACTTCTCTACACACCTATGACTGGTGAAATGAAATGCCCTAGGTTATACCTTTGCCTTGCGCATTCCATTCCATCTCCTCCAATGTCGATGCGACACATGCACCAACTTGATCATCAATGATATGATCCACTTCATATCACTACGTGATCTTGTTGGTTCATCGATCTTGACCTCACATGCTTTTCACTGTTGCCTTCGTCCATCGGCGCCAAGTCTTGCTCAAGCTTCACCGCCACGCGGTCCATCACTCCAAAGCCTTCGACTTGCCCTTCACACTTGCAACCGGTCCATCAAGCCAAGTCTTGTCTTGATCTTCTCCACCTTGATCACATGACTCAATGTCATGTCTCATGTACAATAAGCTACTTCATCATCACATGTGCGAGCTTTGCAACATCTTCAATCCATCTTCACCTTCATGGCATATGTTGCTCACACACATGTATCTGTGGACTAATCACCTGTGTATCTCACATAAACACCATTAGTCCACCTAGGTTGTCACTCAATTACCAAAATCACACAAGGACCTTTCAATCTCCCCCTTTTTGGTAATTAATGACAACTCTACAAAGATATGGAAATTAAGCTCTTTTGGATTCATGTTGCTTGCCCAAGCAATTTTACCATGTGTAAATGATTTTGGACAAGTACCACAAACCCAAAATGGTAGTATTAGCTTCCCCTACATATGTGCTAGAGTATTTAATTTTAAGCTTGCACATATGCATATATTTAAATTGTGGGAGAGTAATTACTACCGAATGATGCTAAGGTGTATAGAATAAACCTTTGAAGTGTGATACCAATTGGAGTTGCACCTTTAAGTTCATCATTAGCATCATGGTT